ACTGAGTGTATGCCAACTGTCAACATTTAGGTTGGTAGCTGAGAGCAAACCGGTTATGCCACCCGGGGGCCTTTCTGAACGACAGAAAGAAAGCCAGGCCCACTATCAGTCGAGGGGATTTGGACTCACAGGGGTCTTGTCTTATCTAGGGTTTCTGAGGATGTATTCAATTTTTGTTTGAGCAAATAAACTCATCTCTCTTCCCCGACTCCCTCCCTCAGCAGGGCCAACCCTGCAGTGCACAGCCAAATGCTTATGTTGGCAGTTCCACCAGGACTCCTCCCTAAGGGGAGGGGCCTCCCCAGATGCTTCCTGCCTTGGGATGCTGCTTCCTCTGCATGCACCTCAGGGAGACATCTCTGTATCCTCAGCCGCCTTCACCCCTCCCAGTAACAAGATGCTTTTGAGTGTCATGCTAAAAGAAGGACACAAAGTGGAACTGGATCAGGAGAATGAAGGGGAATCCAGATGAAATGCTGGAGGAAATGTTTGCACCCCACTGAGAAGCGGCTGACTCTGAGCTGAAGGCACATGTCCCCACTCACTCCCCACAAAGGTGGACTCAAGGTCTGGCTACTTAGGTACCCTCAGAGCAGCTCAGGTTTGATGTCTCAGCTTTCCCCGGTGCTTGGTCAAAGGCAGATGCCCCTACACATACACCAGTGTGGTTCTTTCATTATAGGTTGATTACAATGACGGAGAGCCAGAGCTACATTATTCACCATACACTGGCCAGGGTGGGCTCAGAGACCCATGTCCTGGAGTAATGTGGGTGACAGGAAAAGTGGAGGCTGCTCCCACAAGGAGGTGAGAGTGGGTCCAAGTTGTTTCAGGTGGATTCTCCCATTGGCTATCCCTGAGCAGGAAGGCTGACAGCCTAGGCCCCCCCCGTGTCTGGAGGTAACAGATTCATAGACATCTAGTCTCTGAAACACAGAGTTCTTATTAATGAGGGGATACTCACTCACTGCCAATGAGTCAATACCGACTCATAGCGACCCTGTAGGACTCAAGCTCTCTTGAGTTTCCAAGATGATAGCTGTTTATAGGAGCAGAAAGCCTGCCTTTCTCCCAAGGATGGATTAGAAAAGGTCTTAAATAATCGACTACCCTAGCAGTAGAGCTTAGTGGTTAAGACTCAGCCATACTTGGAGGGTGACTTCTGTTTGGCTGGCTAACTGGCCTAGAGTTACTTAACCTCTCTGAGCCTCTGTTTCCTCACTTCTCAAATGGATATGCTGGCAAA